CACCGATGAGTTGGCACATTAATTCATTGGTGGATTGGAACTCACAAAATCTTTATCCACCAATTAATTAATGTGCCAACTCATCGGTACTTAGGATAAGATGAGTACCGGTGCTCATTAGATCATTTCTGTATATATATATATATATATGTATGTACTACTGCCTACATATCTACTCCCACTTTTTATCACACAATGACAAGGGGTAAGCTTAGAACTAGAAAGCACTGGCAGCATCATCATCAGCATCGTCGAAGTCTGTTCTCTCTTCAAAAGCAGTATCATCCCAATGGCGACGAATCCATTGAAGCTTAGCAAACTCGGTAGTGTGTTGATCTATAGTAATACGCAGCTGGGTAATCTCGCCATCATACGAGCCTGTTGTTTGAAGAGTACTGTCATCTGACCTAAAAGAGCGACCGACGGGTCGATAGGAGTTGAAACAGTGGGTGCGGACGCAGGAAGAGGAGGAAAATTGACTCGGACGGAGGAGGAGTTGAAGCAAAAGTAGATGGGACATTGAAGGGCGGAGGAGTGGATGAAAAAGAAGAAAAATCGGAGGGATCAAAAGAAATGAGGATCATGAATCGGATCAGCCGGCACAGTCGGGTCAACGGCTGTGCTAGCTTAGAAGAAGCATGAGACCTACTTTGAGCAAAAGTAGTGTGGCCAATCGGTCAAGAAACCCTTCGAGGAACCCCCTCAGGAAAACTAATGCCTATGGCTGTCATAAGCCGATAAATACTACAGGCATAAGGGAGTCCCACCCAAGTCCCTGTGACCCGGAAAGCCCGAAGAATCTGCTGGCAAATAAAAGTGGGAAGATCAATCGAATCACCATGCAGCAAGGTGTATAAGAATCGCACCCTCTCAATAGGTAAGGAAGAGGTATACGATACTGGCCACATATTAGTGCACACAATGCGCAACAAAATTTGTTGGTTAGTGGGAAGAAAACCGGTTCGTATCGCACCAGGGCCACCCTCCAACGGTGTGTTAAACACCATGGAATGGACTAGAGTGTCCGAAGGAAGTGAGACATGAGTAAGGTAGGGAAATATGGGGTGGACGACCCGGAGAATATGAAGAAGACTCGAAATAACGTCCGGTGTAATCTTAAGTGTCCTATCCCGAATGAAAACCCTAAAAGAAGAACCATTAACATCATGAATGTTAGCTTAGAACTCGTGAATAAGTAGGCTCGGCTCCCAACTCCGAAAAGTGAAAATAGTAGCGAGGTCGGGAAAAAGGTTAGACAAAATGACCTCGCACTCAAAAAAATAGGACGAATAGAAAACTGCGACCCAAAAGTATCTTTGGCCACATCTGAGATAAACCTAGTCCTACTATAAGAAGTAGAGGTACTAGGAGTGGAAGGGATCGGTCGTGCTCTCTTAGGCGGCATTTGAAAGAAATGGAATCACAGCATTGAAACCTCGATATAAGATGAACCAAAACATAACATGCATGATATGCATGAATGTACGCAAAACAAGGCAAATATGATAACATGCAACATGCCCTAACATGAATGCATGATGACGTGCAATGATTCTGAGACGTAAGGGACAAGAAGACATGACGCGTACATTGATGACACGACGCGGGGACGCGATGTCATGACGCAGGGACACGATGCCTAGAAGGAGCGACATGAAGTCATGACGTGGTGACGTGACGTCACCATGTTGTGCCAACACCAACCGCAATGCACACACCAACACCTAATGTACATGCCAACCAAAAACACAAAAAAATACACACCTCAAACCCAAA